TTAACTTTTAATTACTTAGCATTAATGCATAAAAGTTCCCAAAAATATTTTGCTTTTACACTAATGTGAGTTAAACAAGTATATTACCTAGTATATAATACCGAGTAAAAGTACATGAAATAAATGAAATAACATAATAAGTTAAATAATGGATTAACACCCTTCAACCCAAAGGAGTAGAAGAGTGAAGTTTATGATGCATAGTATTAAAAAAATGATTGTCATCTTGTTCCACTAGTAAATATATTTACAACTTGATCGTATAGAAAATAAATTTTTATCGTTTTTATTATGTTTGCGATGCCATATAAACTTGGATTTTGCTGGAAGAGATAAAGATCTCTATATTATCAAAATATATCTCTGGTCGATATTAAAATTTTACAAAAATTTGAAATTATTAATCAAAACTAAAATAATTAATTAAATAAAATAACAATGAGACAAATTTATTAATTAGTTGGGCTTAATCCACATTTAAACATGTCCAAGTTAAACCAAAAAGATGACTCAATTGTTTTAATAAAATACTTTCATTAAATAGTGAGGCCACAAGGAGGGGACATATGTTACAATGAAATTCATTATAGGATTTTCTAAATAAACACTCACCACATACATATAAAAGAAGTCTTCCACCCAAATTATGGAGGGAGTAACACAAAAATATTCTAGTGTAAGAGTAAGACCAAGCTTCATCCTCTTTCCAAGTCTTTCCCTCAAGGTCAAGAGAGAACTTTCCTCCTAGTTATCCTCCCAAGCCTTCAGGTAAACAATAGATCTTTATTAAGCATTCATGCAATCAAATGAACAAATCCTCTTTTTTGATAAAGTTATTGAAGCAAATAAATTAAAAATGACAAATAATTGGGTTTAAGACAAATTTTATAAAACTCGAAACTGACCCAACTATAAATTAACGGAATTCAAATTTATCGGAATTTGGGACAAGTTAATAAAAATATAATATGTACCAATCCATGTAGATTTCAGAATAAAAGTGATCCGTGTTGTACTAGAATAACTAGGATATTAATATATTAAATCTATATTAATATTGTACATTAAATATGTTAAAATATTTTAGTATATAATTATTATGTATTAAAAATTGTAATATTATTTATACAGTAGCAGATCGAGTTCAGATGAGTTTTTATCACCAAAATTGAAGCCAATTTGACCTAGTATTGAAAAAAAAAAAAAACGAACCGCACTCTACTTATGGTAATTCAATTTCAATTAAAATTTGATACGAACTTAAGCAGTTCAATTTGATTTTATTAGGTCCTTGTTTTTTTCAACTCTTAAATAAAATTCATATATATTACCAATAACTCTTCAAAAAGCCAAAAAAAAATTATGTTCATTGCAGAAACATTAAGATTCGCAATCCTCTCCAAACATTTAAACATTTTCCTCATCTAAAGGCACCTACGATACAATCATCAAAAAATTTAAAAAAAAAAAGTTCTTTAGTTGTTTACTCACAGATTGTATATATATATTTTTTATATAAAAAGAATAGATAAACAATGTTCGTACCCAAATAATCTTTTGAAAAACTAAGTTGATTATTTTCTGAAGTTGTTTTTATTTGTTTATTTTATACAAACTTTTTATTACGTCCTTAACTTTTAAGGAAAAAGATAAGAAAGGAACAAAAAAAAGACTAAAAATTTATATTATAGCATTCACATATTCTTATATTCATAGATCAAGAAAGATTAAGAAATGGGCATTTTTTATTTTTAAGGTATAATATATAAAAAAATCATTGTACTACTTTAAAAAATTCAAATTAGTCTTCTACTGATTTTTGGTTACCCTTGTACTAATAATATATCTAATATTGTTAAATAGATATCTAGTGACCGATGATATGTTCATATAAATATCATGATATTCACGTGGTTGTCATCCTTGCAGCGAGTTTCCTTCTTTCTTTCTTTTTCTCTCATTTTGTCTACCTTTAAGTGTTAATAAATTAAATATAAGTTTATAAAAAGTCAACAACAAGACATAAAGAAAATTCTCAGCACTAATGCTACTCTAATTTTTTTTTGCCGCCATTTAAATACTAAGCAATATCTAGAAACATAGTTCTATAAATGAATAAACTAGAAATGACAGGACCAACCATATAATTGCTATGCTGATAATATTTTTAAAATTTAATATCTTCTTGTCATGTGAGCATTTATCTAATAGTGTCTCGTTAATGATAAGAATAGTTTTAAAAAAACTGAAGAATACAGATTGTATTTAAACCAAAAAATTGTTTACGAATCAATTTGAATTTTTTTAAATAGTACAAGAGTTTCTTATTGTATTATTATGTTTTTAAGTTTTGCGTGAAATATCAAATTAGGCTGCAAATAAAAATTAGTTATCAAAGAAGGGTTTTCCGCACCAAACTTCTTTCTAGAAACTAATCTTGTTCTCTTTATCTAAATTCTAAATTTATTTGAATAATTCAAACGTACCCAAGTTATTACTAGTCACAAAGCTTTTGATAAAATTTTCTTGAGTAGTCGAAGATCTATGACTGACTCGATGGTTGGGAGAAGCATATGCTCCTCGTAATTATGAATGTCGCAAATTATAGATCTCCTAGAGGAACCAGTTCATTATCAATCTTCAAATCTGCTTCCACAACAGATCTTCCTTCCTTAACGTCAAGTAACTTTCCAGTCTCAGGCCATTGTTGGCGTTAATGTTAATGGAAGAAAGAAAAGAAAAAAGAGCAAACAGGGATAGATTAGATTGACGGGAAAACAATTTAATTCACTGGTTAGGGTTTTCTCTGGTTGCAGATAGAAAGTGAGAAAATGATGATTGCTTATTTATTTACTTATATTTTTCTCTTGTGTGTTTGCATGGAGAAGCTGGGGGAAGAAAATTGAGGGTGATTCTTTTTTAATATTCAAATTATATTTTGTTTATTAATATTAATCATATTTTCTAATTAAAATAACCCATATATACTTCAATTCCACGTGTTATAGAATTTTTTATTTTTATATTAAATATTATTTTATAAAATAAAAATAAAAAATATATTTTTGTATTGTCCATTATAGCTCTCATGTGCAAAGATTCGTTCTGCATATA